GTATTCAATGCGGTCTTTCCCTACCCTTCCACCCTCTTCTCATGTCCATCCTAATCCTACAGAGATATCATTTATAATATTATTTACAATCCTAGATGTATTATTCAGTTCATCCTTTATCCATCTTCTGTCCCTCACACAATGAAACACTCAGGTAATCACCTATTTTCTACTGACAGATAAAACTTCCTCCCATAAAAGGGCAAGTTATCAACAGCTGTGTGATATAAAAGGACAGGAATGCTACTCCTACTCCTGAAACTCCCATTGTGTACACAACCCTTTTGTCCATCATTTCCTGTATTTCAGGAGCCATTTTACAGGTCCAACTGCACACAATTTCTTAACTTATGCAATTCAGTGCTCTGGGTTAGGCTGTAGCTGCACATGGAATGATTTAGTAGCTTACCCACAAGCGATTCTATAACCACCCTGTAAGCAGTAGCATGTCTGTGAAGCTGCCACTGAGCACAGAGGCTAGTCATGCGGACTTGGTAGGAATCCAGATCTGTCACACCAAGGTACACTGAAAATAAAATACCAAAAAATTAGATTTATGGCTCTACTAAGACATATAAGAAAACATTATTAAGAAACACTTGTGCCAATGAATTTTTTTTAACAATTTCAAAAGCTGCCTAAAAAAAAATGACATCAAGAAAATCCAAAACAGGAAAGGGGAAAAAAAGTTAATCTTTAGATCTAAAGTTTGGAACATAAGTCAATCTAATTAAGACTAAAAAATGAACACTACTAAAAATTCAGTTACTACAAATAAGTATAAAATTATCATTATAACAGTAATATTTCTGTCAAAATCTAACTTAAAATTGAGCTTTAGATATATAAAGGCTAAACTATATTACAGGTATGGAACTAAAAAAAAAAAAAGACTAAACAGACTTTCCATTAAGGAGGTTTACATCTACTACTAGACAAATATGTTTAGTTGATAAATAATAACATCTGCTTTATGACCCTTGTCTTGCTAATGTCCAGCAGATTATTTCAAAGCTTGATACAGCCTAATAAAAAGAAAGAGACTTTCATTTCAGGCAAATAATTTTCACACAGCTGAGAAAGTCTTCCATGTGAAAATCTATTCAGAGAGCTGCACAAAGCCACAGTTATAGCAAAAAAATAGCCTGTAGAGATCTGAACGGCATGAAATCATTCTTACAGGTTTTGGCTACGCCTGTTAGAGCATCACTGAAGCCTGTTGAGTATGAAGCAAATACTTTAACACTGTACTCCGTTCCACTGAAGAGATTTAGAATAAGAATGGTATTAATATCATCCCCTACAAAGGTCTCCAACGCAGGACCAGGAACTGCAAATACATGAGATAAATTAGAAAATCATTTGCTCAGCCAACGAATTAACAAGTAGTTAGATCTTAAGATACATGCATAATTACATGTGCTCCCAAAGTTACTGCCCTTTTTTCGCCTTTTTATTTTTTCCATACTCAAAAACAAAGACACTGCTCAGTCCTTGCATGGATAGAAGCCACAACACACTTGGGAAATTCAGCAGTGGGATTCATTAGGGCAGGGCTAGACACTGGCATCTGTTAAGACCCTTTTGTTCTGCTTCAGTGACTTACTACTGGCCTAAATAGGCAGCCAAAGATCTCCTCAGTTTGATGGTGTGCCAGGACCAAGAGGAGGGAATAGCAGATGCCAGCAAGCAATATAGTCCCTAAGGGGGTCTTATACAACAGCATCATTTAACACTGTGCAAAAATGATAATGAAAATAGAAAAGAATAAAACTTTCCCAAATTAAAACTGCAAACAGCTTCTTTGCCATCTCTCTCAGTTGTTCTAGATACTCTTCAGAAACCAGGCAACAGCAGTGTCTTTGGAAAGCCCCTTAATGGTCACACATTTGTATTTTGTTCTCGGTAGAGGACTGTGTTTTTCTAAAGAAATCTGAAGGAGCTTGGGTGCCTTGTCTAGCTGCAATGCGCAGGTGGACAAAGAACGCAGCACAGACAAAATGGGCAATAAATAAAACATCAGGTGTTCAGAAGGTGTAGAGTGGGAGTAAAAGTCAAGGAAACTAAAACTTTGTATTGAGAGGATATTGAAGAATAGAAGAACACAAAAGACAGGAAGAGGAAGAGAGCAAAGGTAGTCTCTGAAATAAATAGAAAGTGTCATGGTAAAATGACATAGAAAGTCTGATTGAAAGAGTTGGGTTTGATCAGCCTTAACATGGGAGGTCTAAGGGGGAATCCTACTGCTGCCTACACCTACCTAACAGGAGAGATAGATGTTTTCTGAGGCAAACAGGAAGATGGTAAGAGAAAGAAGACAAAATTTGCAACATAGGAGATATTGATTAGATATTAAGAAAGACAATTTCTACAGTGAGGATAGTCAAAAACTAGGACAGATGCTTAAAGAGGTTTTGAAACTTTCATGCTTGGAGATACTGCAAACACGACTGGACAAGTTCCAGCAAACTCTGTTCCAAGCTGGCCCTGGTTGGATCAGGGAGTTGGACCAGATGATCTCATAGATCACTTCCAACCTGCATCATCCTGTGACTATGAAACTTCCGTATTCAAAACCTGAGACACCTAAGTCAAGAGCACTTCCAAGGCTGTAAGTGCGGCTGTTAGATTTAAGTACAAAATTCAGCAAAGGATGATGTCAAGAAACGGTAAAGTCACAAACAAACAACAACAACAAGGTATCTGTTTCAAAACTCACTGTTGATAGGTTTGTAGACAATTCTGTAACCCATTGTTGGTGATGGCGGTGCATCCCAACTGATCCGTAACCTGTTATACCATTCATCTGAGACACGCAGATTTCTAGGAGCAGACAGGGGTACTAAAAGGAAACCAAACTGAGTTTTTACAAGTTTATCTCATACAAGCACCTGCATAAAATTCAAGACATGCACATGAAAGATAGTGCAATATTCAGTACTCTCAGATTTATAGGTAAAAGTGCTGGAATGAAAGCCTTTAATCAAATTCATCTTTGGCATTATGTCAGTGGCTTAATGTTGATATATTTAAGGAAGTTATACCAAGGATTAATTATGAACTTGGGTCAACAAATAATGAATTTTGAAATTAATTCCCAACTTTGTTCCTACATCTTTTTAAGAACATAAGAAAATTCAGAGATAATTATCTCTTATTTAAATTGTTTCTTTCAATCCAAGTTTTGAATGTATAAATCATGCTGCTGTGAACACTTACTGCTTTCAAACAGAATCAAAGGAATGATTTACAAGTGATTGGAGTGCCTGCACAAATAGCACTTCAATTTAGGCAGAAATTATGTAAATTAGGAGAATAATTCAATAAAATGATACTATCATGAGTAGCAGTGCACAATGAGATTATTTTTTCCAATATACAGTAGAGAGGCAACTTAAGCTACAGCTGAGTAATCTTTTGGTGCTTGGTCAGAACTCTAGAGATAATGCGATCACTTTTATAAAAAGATCAGCAGCATTTCTAATGACCTTTAGGAATTAATGATCTCACACAAAAGAAAATCTAACGGTACAATGGTTGGTTTGATACTATCCCAGCAGGCATTGTTTACTTTATTTTCCGCATTTGTTTGCTTGTCCTTAGTGGGCTATCTATTAAGGACTTACCAGCTTTATTACTCAACAAGTTTCCACAAACTCATAGTATTTGAATATAAAATACAATTTGTGAATTAGAAGCAACCCATTGTTTATAAATCAATGAACTGAGATTATTATAAAGTTTGAGTTATGTAAGTCATGCAAAATAAACCTACAGTTATACTAGATTATATTACTACAGCCAAGGAAAAAGGGACAAAAGACTAAGCCTTCATGCAAAAGACTAAGCCTCTCATCCTGGCCAAAGACACACAGAAAGTTTTACTTACGAGTTTTGCCAGGAGCTGAGACACTGACTCCTTCCCCATCAGAATATATGGGAGTGATGGTGACTTTGTATTCTGTATCAGAGAGCAGAGGCTGAAGCAGAAGAGTGTTTTGTCTCCCAGGCACCATAACCTGGATGGTCAGAAAAACAAAATACAATTGAGCTTAATGACTAGGGCCAAACCCTTTTTTTATCTTACGTGACCTCTGACACCACGTACCACTAGTACTGTTTTATAGCTTGCATTTTAAAATATTTCTGATGCTCTAATGTAAAATAAAATAATTAAATTATCATTATTTAAACAGATCTACTAGTTATATCTGAGAAAAATGAAAAGGAGAATGTGTCTACAGGTTTAATAAAAAACTGTATTACCCTATGAGACACTACAGTTCCATAAACCACTAGTACTATATCATCCATACAATGATACTGTAGTGAAAAAAAAAACTCCAGGCAGTTTCGAGTGTGTGAGAGCAAACCTTTCAACCTGCTGGATAAAGCACTGCTTTTTTTAAATACAGTACAAGGTTTCCCCACAAACAGGTATTCTGGAAACTCTTTAATATGTCACAATAGCAGTGATAGATGTGCCCAAGCAAAGCATTAAAATTTATTAACTTGTCGGTCAAATTTTAATCTCAGAAAGCCTCTACAGCCTGAATGGGAACCACCTGCACAGGAACCACCTGCACATGGAGTGGACATAGGATTGGTTTCTGTTTTCTTACCATGTTTCCTGCACCAGGCTTAAGCACTGAAATGACATTGCCCCTGTCCACAGCATGGGGGTTGGAACTAGATGATCTTTAAGGTCCCTTTCAACCTAAACCATTCTATGATTCTATGACTGTTGGAAGCAACTGTCCCAAGGTCTAACCTCATATTTCAGACCCTGCCTGGCCCATGTCCCTTGTGTGAATCTCCCACCTCAGTGAGCAACTGCACATACTCGGCAAGAAGCTGACAGACATATAAGCTCTATAAACTCAAGCAGAAAGAAACGGAAACTGAGCCTAAAAGTATTTGTTGTTTCAAAGAACACAGATGCATGCGATGACGGTAGAGCAAAATTTTCTGGAGCATATGCTCAGACAAGAAAGCTCTCATCCATTTTAACGTTCCAGGATACATTAAAACTATTTCTAATATTGGTAAGTGATACACAGAAGGAAAAACTTAACCTAGTATACCCAGGTGTGGAGACTCGTCAAAAAAGTATTCCATTCATGGATCAAAACTAAATACATGTGCATGAAAGATTTCCACACTAAACTCTTCCATACATAGGAAAAACTCAAAAAACTCCACACTCAAATCCCACAAACTTTCTGCAAAAGGAACAACCAACTTTTGGGTTTTTTTTAGGAGAGGGGATGCAAGCATTGAGACCTATCTCTTTTCCAAATGTGCACATCAGAGTTCTTCTACAGAACAATATAGTTTTCAGCAGTGAGAAACACTCCTGGAAATAAGGAAGAAAAAAAAAAAGAGTGATCCTTCCAGTATGCACAGCACACCCAAGAACATATATGCAATTCTGTGAAAAATATTCTGTTACATTTTCTAGTCCCCGATCTTCAGCCAACAGCATCAAGGATTAAAAAGCTTATTAATAATTTTATGGAAGGGGAGGTGTAACTGAAATATATACCACTGGAATGAGAGCCAAAATACTTAAGCATCCACCACAGAATTGTCATCCTATAGGATATTTATACCCAAATTCCACAAAACTTTTGGGTTCTGCTTAAGAAATGTATTTAAACAACTAAACACTACCCTAAAAATTGCACATCTGTGTTGTTTTATTGACATCTGTGTTGCACCTCTCAGGTGCTTGAAGCCATGTGATAAAATACATTCCTTCAATTTAAAATGTGCTTAATTTTAAGTATAATCTTACATCAGTCCTTATTCATTTAAGTATTTATGCACATGATTAATTTCAAAGATGAAACATGGTTAAACTGCTGAATCATGACTAAAGATAATAAGACTTTGGAGTGTATTTAAAATTAAATAATTTGCAGAACTAGAGCCAAGATACCTACCTAATCTTAGAATTTTATAATTTTCTTTAATGAGCTTTTTAGTCAACTCTCATATCGTTCTGACAGCCAGAATTTGAATACCTTTCCTACAGTTTCAATTTCTTTAATATTCTTGTTGAATACTAAAACAGAACTCCATTTATATCATCCGGCTGAATTTCATTAAGAATCCCAGCGCTGGAACAGTAAACCTAGGACTTGAATTTCAGAGACTTTGGATTATTGTTATTAGAACAGTACAATTTGTGTCATTGTGCTGTGCAAGTTTGCCACTGTGTTATGCACACTATACTATCATATAGTCAAGGTAAACTCACAAAATATGTTTTCCAGTCCAAAAGGAAACCATTGCAATGCAAGTTCATTTCCAGATTATAGTTGAAAGAGATGGCTAAAGAATAATTTTCTAACAAGGTCTCATAAAATATGGATGAAAACAAAATGAAGAAAGTCTACTTCATATTTTTCTTAAAAAAAGAATATATTCAACTAATTTTTTTTTTTTAATATACTCTAATATAGGGCTAAAAATATCAGCTGCTAGACATCCAAAAGAATGTCTCCCAAAAGAATGTCTCATATTTTCAATATAACTGTTCTGTGAACAGAAGTGTGTCATGTGACAGAGAAGGTGAGTGATTTGGGGAATATTTTTGCATTCTGAGCTATTTACTAAGAAAAACCTTTAACTATAGAATTTTATCTCTTAAATATAATTACACAGAGCTATCTTATTTAATTACCCAAATTAAAAAAAGAAAACAAATATATATAGTAGTGCACTTGGTGTCCCAGAAATCTGAAATCATCTCCAAAATTGTGAAATCTTAAAACAACACAGCAAGAGATTCTTTTTCACATTATTTGCAATATGTTTAGAAGAGTGAATGTAGCACCTTTCATTCATTCAAGTATTTTCTAAAATCTTGATTACCTGAAACTTTTTTTTGCATAAGTCAATTTAAATTTTGATCATCACACAGTATTGGAAAAATAGCAACTATTCCTAAGTATTTGGATATCAAAGTGTTATCCTTTTTGTGACATGTTCAGGTTAACAAGCAGTATGGAAACTCTTCATCTGAACTTTAATTACACTGCTTTAGCATAAAATGAGACTTTTAGGTAAAGAAGTAAAAAAATATACTTAACATTGTCCTGTACAAACATTTAAGAGCTGTTACAACACAATCTCCAGAAAGAAAAAGGACTAGGAGTAAAAAAATCTCAAAAAGAAAACAAAACAAAGAACTCAGACAAATTTTAAGAATATAGGAAAAAGAGGACAGGCAGCTAGTCTTTTAGCTATGACTTCTTTAAACATCAGTGTGCCTGGGCCTTGGTCTTATATTTGACTGCTGTTGACTGCAGTGCAGCAGGTGCTACACGATTAAAACTTTGTAGTTCAATCTCACAGTAGTATGATGGATCTTTCACTTGGATGTTTTACTAATTGCAACAGGAGTGTTAGATAAGGAGACACTATGCCTTAGCAGTTATTAAACAAACTTTCCAAGCTTATGAAGCCATTCACAAAAGCCATACAGACCATTCTTACCGCTTCCTCGGCACGGTCTCCTTTCGCAGTGAGATAGGTCACTCTGAACTGCTGAACATTGTAATCTGAAATGTCCCATACCACCCTCAGGCTTGAGGTTGTTTCATCATCTATAACAAGGTTTCTGATTCCTGCTCGAAAAACTAAAGCAAAAAATAATTTAATCGGTATTTTCTCAACTCTAATTTTAGATTTAACGTTGTCCTAATTATCACCAGTTAGCTGCAAGATCTATTGAAGTCATGGTGAATCCGAAGATCTATGGTGGGACAAACACATGCAGTTCAGTCATACTTGGGCTTAATAATATAAAAATTTTAACCGTTTAATAAAATAACAGCTTTTCTATACTGCCATTAACATATATTGCCCATCTGCTTTGTTTATATTACTTGGTTTATGGAGCTTCAGAATAACCAAAACTCCACTGCAGCTAGAAAGCTACAGAAGATAAGTAATCCAGAACTGTTGATCCTTAAAAGTCAGTTTTCTGATTCAGGGAAAACAAACAGAACCCTTAAAACTAAACAAAATTCTGAAGAGTTTCCAAGTATGAGGAGAAAGAGAAAAGAGCTGAATTTTCCAAATTAGTCTCTGTATTCCTGTGAAATATTGCTGGCATCATTCAGAGCTCCTACACTGTGTTACAGGTCAGCTCCTCATCCACACATGGCATATGCAGAAAGTTGGCCACACACAGAAGGATGGTGCAGGAGCATGGTAGTGTGCACATTTTGCTGCTGCCACCCCTCGCCTGGGGTCTACAGCTCCACAATAGCTGCCATGGCACTGTGCTGACCACATAGACCATCGGGAACTGGGGTTATTCACTCCTCAGCAGTATCACAGCTCTCTGCCCCAAGATATGGGTATACTTGTGAGGAGCCTTAGCTCTTTGCATTCAACATTTGAACTGTTGACATTTATTCTCTTTACCTGCTGTGGTGGGCTTAGAACTTGTCGTACTGGTAGTGGTCACAGTGGTAGGAATTGTGGTAGTCCTTGTAACTGAAAAACAATACTCAGCTCACTAACAATTCAACAAGACATGGAAGTCACAGTACTTATCTTGGATTTCTAACTATGACAATGAAACTATGTGCTCACACCTACAAGTATCCCACACACTTCAGGCATTTCAGAGACTACAAGGGAACTATTCATTTAGTTTACTTTAGGCACATATATATGCAGGATTAGCACTCAGATCTACAGATAAGACATAATTATTCACTGTACAATTAAATAAGAATGCATATAGTTTCCCACATTTCTGGCTGAACCATACATAATGACTTCTACTTTGACCATTGCTGACAGATTAAATTAAAAGACTTTTAAAGGTGCTTCATATCTGTCCAAGTCAAAAACAGAAGCTTAGCAACACTGGTTAATATCAGCATTATTTGGATGAGTTACAGCTTCTTGTCTTAACAGAAGGTTCAAGATTAAGCCTGCAATGCAATTACTAAGAATTCAATGAATTTTGAATTTACACATGAAAAATATAGTTGTTTACTTAACAAAATCATTGTCCATGAAAAGAGAATGGATAGAGCAAATCCACCTGAAATGTTGGCCACTGTTTCAATTATAAACTATAAAATACACCATGTATGATTTTCAAGTTTTATCTCTATTGCTTCCACGTTAACGTCACAGATGCCTGTGTAAGCTTTTTGGACCACTATTTCAGCCAAGAGTCAATTTAGCTCTAGTGAGTATAAATTACATAAATAAGAAAGGATGGGCATACTGTAAATGCCAAACATCTTAAATGAAATTACTGTGATTTACTTTAAAGCATTTAACACCCTCCTCCCAATCTAATATATCTTCTTATAGGGAACTCTGTTCAAAGACTAAATATTGAAATGTAGGGTGGAAGAATATCTACTCTGAACCAAAGGTAATTAATACCACAGCTCAGACAGTGAGCCAAACCATCATTTTGATTCAATTCCATCCACCACGTAATATTAAATAAGAAAAGCAAAAAGTATGGTCAGCAAAGCTCTGGTGCTAAACCACCACATTCTTCAATATTACAGCTACACAAAGATGGACTGTATTTTAAATATATTTGCATTAAAGTTAAATCACTTAAGCATCTCTAAAATTTACAAACAAGAGTTTGTCTTACATGTAGCTCCAAGAACAGCAACAACTTCACTTTCACTTTCATCATCAAAAACTGCCAGCAAAGAAACTTCATATTCTGTGTTGGGCAACAAACCCTCAATAACATGACTGTCTGTGTCTCCATTTAGGACAACCTAAGTAACACAGCAAGATTAAAGAAAATCAGTCCTGCATTTGATTAATTTATATGAATTGACTGAAATGAAAGAAGGAAAATAGATTCTCCTTTAAAATAAACGAAAGCTACACTCAGATTTGCACAAAGAATTTATTAGCTATGTTGAAATAAAAAGTATCACAGAGTACATCTGGAAAAAAAAAACTGTTAAGAATAATTAAAATGTATTTAGTATTTTGTGGCTAGCTTGATTATTCTAGTGTGTAGTCTTATACTTTCACCCACAACTAATTAATTGTTAAACTGAACATATGCATTTCATTTGAAAATCACTAAAATTCAAAATATTCATCAGCAAAACAAACACAACAGGGTAGCTTAGCTTTCATTTGTATTTCTACCATTCAAGCACTGTTACGACAAAAGTATTCAGCATCTCCACATCCTCACAAAATGCTGTTTCTATTCTAGAATTAAAATCCAAGTTATGGTTCCACACATCTGAACGTAACCTGAAAGTACATTTGCTGTAGACTTGGGGATTAGGCAAGATGCGCTGATGAGGTTTGTTACATGGCGTGGTTTTTAATAGTCATTTTCCTTAATTCTACCTATGACAGCAGCAGCAAGATTCACATGTGCAATGTTAACTGTAAGCAGGATTCACTCCAGATTTTGGCATGTTTCGTATATTTTGTTGGAAGAGATTAGGAGATGGGCAGGAGTTGGAAGCAAAGGGACTATAAAGCAGAATGCAAGGAGCCTGGGCAGGAACTCTGGTGAAATGGCCTGACTGGGTTTGGGAATAGTTTTTAAGTTACACAGACAGATATTATGATAAAACTACCTTCCTCTAGGTTACCACTGGCAAGTTTTTAAAGATGGCCACTGTATACACAGACTCAGAGACTTACAGTGGAAATCAAACAATAGATAATGTGCTGCATAAAATCTACTAGAGCAGTTAGCAGAAACACTGAATCCCACTTTATTATTTTAACTACCACTGGATATTTCCTGAGTTGGTCCTGGGGAAGAGGGGCCCATAAAACAATCACAGAGCTCCTGAACTCCAATACAGAAAACAAAAGCAGAACAAAAATTAATTTGGGCTATGCCTTCTACAACTATCAAGTAATGAATTAGGCATCCCATGCTGCACACTTTCTGGCACAGATTTTCTTGAGAAAATTTCAGAAACAAGCTTGAATGAGTCTAGCTGCATAAGTAGAAAAAATTAATACCTTCCTTTCCAATTCCTCAGAGCCTCTAGTCATGCATCAAATCATTACAAAATATCTGTATGTAGTTACTATCTCACATATAATTTTGGCATTCTCTGTGAAGCACCACTTCCACCATCCTCCACTCCCTGCTAATTTACCCCACAGAGAAGACCACAAAAAAACGCAACAAATAGCCAAACCTTCAAATGGAGAGGACAAACAACAGCAGCAAGAATAGTAACAAACACATCAGTATAACAGCATACATTCTCTACTCTATACATTCTCTACTCTAACCCAGAAATAAAAGGTCACTCTTAAACTTATTCTAGCGTTTTAGTGCTAACACCCCACTAAATGCTCCATACCCCTTAGCAGTGTGGGTGAAGAAGGCCCAGAGGTGTGTAATTCCCATCACCACCACCCGCTGACCCTAGTCAGCTAATGGGCGAGTTGGGTCTTGACAGAAAGACAGAGGGAGTGCATGTCCTTTCTCTGCATGACTGATCGCTTAGCTGGGAAAGAAGCTTAAAGAGGCAACAGCCTGGAGATATTGTACTATCCTAGGCCTGACCCCATTAGAGAGGTCATGCAAGGAGAACAAGAAAGCAGGCTGGGTATTTTTAATATTTCAATGTACTAAAATATTAGGGCCTCCAGCAGTTTTTTGTGAATACAATGAACAAGTAGAACCTTAACAGTTCAAATATTTCTTGATCATTTATTCCCACGCACAGAACACAGATATCATCAATCTCACTTAAAAATGCACATGGCTTAAAGGGATTCACTGACAGCTACTCACTGGAACTTAAACAGAAACAAATTAGTTTATCTGCTGCAGGGGAAAATGTTAGGGGATGACCTGAGTCCACTCACTCATCTGCCAGCTCCTCCTTTTTCCTGCTCACTCCTGTAATTTCTTTCTTTCATGACTATCTCTTGCTAGGTGAAAGGCAGGCAAGAATCATCCTAAGCTAAACTTACAGAAAAAAATGCCACATAACCTAATGATTGCTTTCTGCCCTAATGGGTGACAAAATGATGCATGAAACCTATAGCCAGGTAGGAAATGTTATCTTCGCCACAGAGTTCCATACCCAGATAAAGAGTTTGCAGGGATGGCCTCTCTTCACAGTGCTGATGCCAAGTGAGCAGGATGTCTGAGAGAGTCATTAAAGACTGAGGAGTACAAAAGAAGATAAAAGAATGAGTAAATAAATAAAGGGAAAGGAAAGAAAGAAAGGGAAAACAAATAAGGTAAACCAAAAAAAGAAGAAATTTTGGGAAAGGTAGAAAGAGTGTCTGTCTTTTTCTATTTAGAAAAATAAACCAGGAAAAGCTAAAAGGACAAAAAATCATTTAAAAATTCAGACTGAGGAAAATGGCCACTGTGAAGAAGATGCACAAAGGCCTAAAACAAAAAATACAGCAGAAGGGAAAAGGATAAAGAATCGTAAAGATGAATAAAAAAGCAATAAATTAACCATGGGCAAACTTTTCCCTTTGTAGCACTGCACAACGAAGGCTTCACAAGCAGTGTTACTGTGGCCAGCACATGAGACAAATGCAGACCCTTACGTGAGGATATTGCTGCTCTGGCTCAGCTACTGTCATCTTCATAGCAAAGTTAAGAACATGAACCTCTAGTAGCAGAGAAGAACATGCTGGTTCTATGACAGTTGTCACATTACAAATTAGATTGTTCACAAAGATCTCTTCTTTCCTCACTTCCGCTTCAAGAAGAAACTGAAGTACTGGTTTGATTTTGGTTTAGAGAGCTTTGCAGGGGGGCAGATTTTTCTGTAAGTCAGCTGGCCGTATTTAACTGTCAAAACTTTCAGCATAAGTGTCTTCAGAATCAAATGCTCTCTTCCATTCCACACCCTCAGGAAGCCAAGGCAACTCACCTCTTCAGAATCCCCGCCGTCCAAAGGAATCCATGCCAATCTGTAATAAGCAATATCTGATGAGGTGGGCTTCCAGCTGACCCTAAAACTATCTGTTGATGCTTCATCAATTTCCAAATGCTGTGGAACTGGGACTCTTTCTGCAATATATCATGCAAAAGAAAAGTGAGTTAATGATTCTGCAAGGCTTCCATACGTGATAATGCCAAACACATACCATTTTATTTGTAGTTTGTTACAAAGAGCACAGCATGAGAGGTAGGCAACAAAGCCACTAAAGAATTCTTTGTGCATTTACTTGTACTTAGGGAAGTGGCTTTGTAGTCGCAGGAGGTGGAATATGCACAATACATGCTCTTTATCTACTCTAACTAGACAAGCCTCCTTGTCCTCTCTCCACTGAAGGACCTCCATGCAACCCTCAGTCCCCCTCATTTGGTCAGAGCTCTGTGTACCATGCTCTTTTCTTTTATTCTGCCTCAGAGCAATGGTACTTCAGAAAGCTGGAGAGACAAATTATTTACTGCCTAATTGCAATAAAAGATGCTTTAAAACAGAAATTGTGGAAAGACTGAAGAAATGAGCCATATCTACACCAATGTGTTCATGATGTCTAAACGGTTACTCCCATGAGTAAAGGTGCAAATGGCCCCACAAAAAGTGAGCAAAAAAGCCAAAAATGCCAATGAAAATAACAGAAAGCGTTCAATAATCTAAATTCACAGCCAAAGACACTTGCTGTTACTGGTCCTACTTTCTAGTAAAGTAAGATAGTATAAAAATTCTTCATGGAAAGCAATACTTACTTGTGGTAAAGCTACCAGTAAGTGGTTCTGATTGTCCTTGATCATACAGGGAGAAAATAGCAACAGTATACTCTGTAAGGGATGTCAGACTTTTTAGAGTATGAGTTGAAACACGACCAACTTCCACCTAGAAGAAGCATAATTTGCAACAGATACTGAACATACACTTCACATTATCAGTGTCTGAAATTATGCTGGGTGATAATGATACAGAAAGAGAATGCCATGTAATCAGTAGAGGAATTTTGTGAAACTATGAACAAGTATAAATTCAGGGCTATAAAAGATGACAAAATGAACTAAAATAGGAAAACTAGAGAAAAAAAATATTTATGACAAGGTAGGGAAAAGGAGAATTCAGCCTTAGTAAGTCTAACTCACTAGCTAATATATCAGCACTGTGTGTTGAGAAACCCAGAAGTGGAAGTAACTTTATGGGCTACTGAATCCACTCCCTTATCATGGGTAATCATCGAATAAATCATTAAGTTCAACATTTGTCAAGAGTCAAAATGACAGTTTTATGCAGTCTCTATCCAGGCTGTACGTAACATGACTTTTCCAGGGATGTAAGACTCAAAACTATTGTATAAACTGACAATTTATCAGACCAACTATTCAGTATCACATTAGCTCAGTGCTACAGGGGAAATGCTACTGATGCAGAGCAAACAAAAAATGCTACCTGCTCTTTGAACAGCCATAAAGGAAAAGTTGAGAGGTAGGTAAAAACCTATGGAACATTTACTTGCACCATAAAGTATATTACCACAAGCCTGAGATGTTCAGGAACTGTTGTGATGATGATAGCCAGACCTACTCTGTTTTAAAGGTAATCAATAGGAAGAAGCCAAGTGATTCCTAATTTTAAGGGACCCAGCAGAAAGAAAAGACACAAACCACTGCAATGGTATGCTCTTTTCTAAACTCAGGAACACTTTCTTCAGGCTCAATACAAATATTCTACTTTATATGGATGGAAGGCCAGTATGTTCCAGAACAAATATAATTACACAGAACTATTATTAAAGACTTACTGGAGGGCTAAATTATCCATAGCAACTTCTTTTGTAAGGGATCTTGACTGTTTTAAGAATTGGATCAATTCACTGCAATTATTTTTTAAAACCTTTTTTGGATTTTTTTTTCAGATTTATGTATTAATGTCATTCCATCCCATTTTTCATTCTATCACAGAATTCATGCTGCTAAAAGCACCTTTAGTAACAAGGTATAACTCACTATTGCATACGTAAATTTTTAAATGCAAGAATCTGAGTTAGAACATCATGGTATCACCTTATCACTCTGTTTAAGCCAAACCCTGTTTCAAGGAAGAGAGCTTTCAACATATAATTAAAGAAATAAATGTTAATAAAATGTAGTGAAGCCTTCAGACAGTCTTTTTGAAAGAGCTTTATACAGAAAGAAAGATTATAGTCTTGTTATCTGGACTGAATCAAGAATATTTCCATATCATATGTTTCAGTCAAAATCCTGCACCTACAAACTATTGTTCACTTAAGTAGTTTCCTTCATTCACTTAAGTAGTTCCCTTCAGCTTATGTGGATCAGGAATGGGTGCTCTGGTATGCAAGAAGTTCAGAGTACTGTCCTCCACACATATGATCAGCTCCAGATGTGTACCTGACACTAAGAAAACTCTGATTTCCACTAAGTTTCAGAATTTTTCTAATAAAATGTCTGTTATGACTTGAAAGGCATCTTTTGCTTATAGAAGTTACTCTTCATAATTACACAAAATTGAGGAGGTCTGAGGTTGGTTAAAGAAGAGAGATGCTAAATATTTACCTCATTGGTTTCTGTTCCATCTGTTTTAACGTACATGATGCGATAGCCATTTACATTTTTGGAAGCAGGATCCCATGTTAGCTTAGCACTACTGTGCCCAACATCAGAAAATTTCAAGTTTGCTGGTGGACTTAGAGGCACTTGAAAAAGAAAGAGACAAAATCACGAAACTGATTCCAGATTTTAGTCATGAAATTTTTCATGTCTTGAAAATAAAAAACACATCTTCCATTTAAAAATTTATATAATCAATATTTCTATTAAAAGACCTACATCAATGGAGCTACACAAGTACTTGAAGTACTTAAAGGCAGGTAAAATGGCTTAGCTCTTCACCAAAATAGAAATTTCAGTCTTGTTAAATACACCTCAACTAATACTGAAAAAGAAAGAAATTATGTTATTGTTCATAGTAGATATAATAGGAAGATCTAGCCTACACAATACTTGCAATAAATTTGTTTGTATTTGTGAATTAATTGAATTCAACCAGGTTTTATCCAGCCTTTCTTTCACAGGAGTATCCCAGGAAAAATATTTCATGACAATAGCACTTTGGCAAAGAACTTTCTGAATGCTAAAAGTCCCTGACATAAGGGTAAGTTTGTCCAAAATGTACAATAAACTCAGAAGATCTGCAGAGATGTTATTTTTTTTCCCTCTCTGCTTAACCCTTCCTCATATTACAGAAAGTAACTGTTTGCTAACAGCAACCTTGGTTAGAGCCATATTTATATAATGTATATTCCTTCATTGTCTTAAGGTTGAGGAAAACAAGGTCATGCAAGACAGTCTCAGATTGCATCCACTCTTCTGTCACACCAACGAAAGCAACGTGCTGTTACTCTCAGCAGTAGGTTCTGTACTAGCCTAATATCTGCTAATTTTCTTTGAATTGTGAAACATTTCTCTGTTCATCCTGCCTTCACACATACGCTCCTCACGCATCCATGCGGACAGATGAATATCAGCACTTCAGAAGCCACCTCCTTCACACAAGAGCACATGGGAAAAAGACTAAAAAAAAAAAAATAAAAAATCAGGTGGGATCTTTAGCCAGGCCATATATTGACTCAGAACCAACAAGAAAACACCTAACCAGCTTAGAAACAGTCAAGTCAACTTGGCTATGAGGAAAGAGAAGACATGAACATATCGGAATTATATTAGATGGGTTTGCCACACTTTCTGGCATTCAGTATATTCCTCTGAGTCTAACGAATGGATCACGTGCTGGCTTCCCTTTCTACTTTCTGTCAGCTGTGGAATGCACTTCATTTCACTATCCAGGCCATACCACAGAATATTTCAGCCTCAGCTCTTTCTTCCTGGAACCAACCTTCTGACAACGTTGCTCTCAACCAAGCAGGCAGTCCTGATGTCAGAGTTACGTGATATTTACAGTGAGACCTGGAAAAATCCTGGCCAAAAAAAGGAACTCCACCCCAAAATGAGCTTGCTGATGTTGCTTTTGTTTGGCACAGAGAAAGGTTTGGCTACAGTAGCTGAGATGATACAGTGTGTAGAATAATATTATTTACTAAATACAGAACATCAGATGCTACATGTAATTCTACAGTAAATGAGGCAGATCTCGCTCCAGGCAGAAAATATTAGGTAGCCTATCAATTAGTTCGAAACCAAAAATAATCACACTGAAACAAAAACCAAACATACAAACTAGCTTAAATCTGAATCCAGACAGAGAAGACATTACCATTGAACATTGATCATGTGGGACAGGTTTGCTCACCAAGAGCTTTTTCCTCCCAGACTGCCCCACTGCCTGATCAATCAAAGCCTGTTAGAAGAGGGATTATTTGAATAGCTTCCTTATTAAATACCTTATTTGAATATGTAAGGTTAGAATCAATCTTCTTTCATATTACAACACTACAGGTCAGTCTGAGTTGGCTGCACTGAGTCACAATAGAAATAAATGACGGTTGCAGGGTAGTTAGTTGGGTTTTTTTTATTCCAGTCTGGTAACAGCAGTGATGATGGGCTGACTAACATATGTTACTGGCTTCTGTGATCAAATGCTGCAGTTAGGAATCCTCAGTTTGTGCCAATGTATCTGGAATTTGCATATCGTCTTCCACCCAATGTGTTAGCCAGGTTTAGAGCTGTGCAGCCTCCAAGATCATATGACGTGAAGTGAATTTGGGATGGCACAGTCATAAACTACATAAACTACTGTTCAGGAGAAATGAAAACCAGATATTGGGCAGATATTGATCAAAAGGGAGGGAAAAAAAAAAAAAAAAGATGAGTGAGAGATGGAAATAGAAAGGGACAGAGGGATAAAGAGTGAAAGGCTTGATTCTCCAAGTTTAGAGAGTCTTCTATGCTGATTTCCAGTCCATAAACAGACCCAGGTTGGAGTAGCTCACTATTGGCACATGTTTGTCCTTCCAAAGATGACCCTGCTACCCAGTTCACATGCCATTCCTATAGTTCTTACACCATTGATTGCTCACTTGATAAGAAATTGCTCTGGCCCTTCTTTTTCTTAGCACTCACATAACTGAACTTCTCTCACCCATTAAATGCAAGTCACTTTCACCCTGGTTTACTCATGCCAGGAGCACAAAAACAAGAGGAAGCAATCACTCCACTGCAGGGAGCAATAGAGATGTCACTGAATGCACTGCTAGAAATACCCCAGCAGCATAATCCCTTATTTTCAATTCCTTAGTCTTCCAAATGCTGAGGCTATTTAGAGAGCTGACATACAGTGCTGTACAGTTAGCAGAAGACAGAATTTAGCTGGCAAAATTCTTGCTGCTTATTGAAAACACACCATCTATCATGAGTGCACAGGCGCTTTCCAACCCTTCTTTCACCAGATGTTAAGCAGCAGGGGTTGGACAGAAATCTTCTCTTTGCTTCTTTTCCATCTGTGCTACTACTGAGCCAGAGGAATGAACTTCTCCATCTGAGTAGACTCCCACACACACCTGGTTCTCTAGCTACGGGAGGCTAAACAGAGCAGTCTCATTTTAGCTCTACGTGGTGACCTTTATTCACCTTCAGTGAGTTCAGAAAACCATCAGCAGTCCCACCAAGATCAACAGGGATATCCATAGTACCACCAGCAATAAAAGAGTTCACAATCCTGTTGCAAAACCAAGCTTTTTTATAAAAACTCACATCATCAGCCTCTAAAAATTAAGTATTCACACCGAGAAACTTAAGCATATTGAAGACATCGCCCTATGGACTATTCAAATCAGATTTTAAAATCAGATGTCTGCTCTGGTATGTGCAAAGACTATTCTGAAGTTTTATTAAGGCTGAAGTGAATACAGATATGTGCTACCTACATGTAGTTTCTTGTCCTGTAAGGGGATCACTAGCTTCTTCTCCAAACATGGCATAAACTGTGACTGTATATTCTGTATTTGGCAATAGTCCATCCAGTTCAAGATCAGTTGAGGTCTCCCCAATTTTTATCTAAAAACACCATGAATAGAAAAGACACATTATTTCAGAATTAGCTCATGATGGGGAAGAATACTATTTACACATTTGAAATTACATATAGGATCAAATGCTCTGCTGAGCATTTGTCCAATACTGTGCCTGTGGTACTTGGCCCAAGATTTTGGCATTTCACTCAATAATCAAAAGAACAAAATTGTCAAAAAGCCAAAAGTCAACATACAGGTAGGAGGACTTTAAAAGTAACTAGTCACATCAGCAATGGCAAAATAGTCCTTTCCAGAACATGCAGCTACTAAGGCCTTTCCACTCCCAGCTATACCTTGTTTCACCTTCAGTCACAGAACTGAAATTTCATAGGAGTTGATTTCCATGCACAGTGAGGATCAGATTTATTGCTATTTAAGGTGCGTATCATTTTTCTCCTCCTTCTCTTCACTGAAAGCCACAATAACATGGGAATGACTTATTTACTGACAAAAAAGTCTTTCCTCAGGGTAAGGCTGGGTCCTCCTGAATCAGCTCAGGGAGGCCCATTTTTAACAGAATTATGTGCATACAGCCACTCATTTAGCAGAGAGTACAAGTCTATGCAAGCTTTTAGTAGCTTCCTACACTCCCCACAAGTCCGCATGCCCCCACATGCTTTTTGGTGCTCTTGCTTGAACAGAAATGTTGTACGTAATCTTAATTATACATATGGAAGCCTGAGCATAAAACCTTTCAAATCCTAGGCCAGAAGTTCCATTGGAATTATGCTAGCACTCTAGAAAAGTACTGAGTTTACTCTTTTAGTGACAGGAGAGTAGACTTTAACTTGTCCCTCCTTCTTTTCCCTCTAAATGTATCTTCTAAAAATAACTTTTGATCAGCATTGTTTTTAAATTTAAAAATAAAACAGAATAATTAATTTATTTTAAAAATAGAAATTGAACAGAACTAAAAGAAAACCAGTAAAGGTTACACTGGCAAATTTTATTCACTTTTAAAAGTCCTGATGAGATCAAAGGCTAAACCTCATATTCTTCTGATAACACACTTAGAAAACATCTTAGTTTTACTTTTTCTTCATTTGCATCTTAGTTTTATATGATATACTATCACCTCATGTCTCATTTCAAGAGTCACTTAAATTCAACTGAAATTGTTGCATTTTCTGGCAATGACATATACAAATAATCAGCTGGTACTTGCACTTTATTCTTAGTCTGTAATACATACAGTACTTAAAGAAGCCATGGAAAACAAAACAAAACAAACAAACAAAAAAACCACACAGAGCATAGGAAAAAAAAAAAGCACCACAAACCACCAAAGTATTTCCTTATCAGGTTGGAGGTTAAAGACCATGTACTCATTTTTTTTTTTTTTTTTTAATAATTGCTATTCAAATGAAAGAACGATACACCACCTCCTTCTCATCTGCTGCCAGCCCCTCGGTGAGGGGGGCATACAATACCATGTAGCCCGTGGCACCCTCCACTCCTCTCCACTTGGCTCTCATGCTGCTCTGCGACACATTGTACAAGTGCAGATCCGAAGCCGTCGGCAAGGCAACTGCAGTGGAACAGAGACAGACCCTTCAGTTGTCTCACTTGAACAACCAGCTATTTTTCAGTTTATTTCACCCCAGGAGTAAACACAAAGGAATACAGCTATCTCCAGGCATGGAAGTGCTGTCTGCATGCCACAACTATGAAGAGCTGATTAAAACATAAAGGAATGCAGAATTAGAGAAATAAGAGAATTACAACCTAACCAGTGTTAACACCAGAGCAGAGTTACCCCTTACAAAGCATTTCAGCTCTTTGTCCTAAACTGCTCTGAACCTTTGAAGTAGAAGGACTTCTGTTCTTTAAGCCCCAGATCAGTCTGTTCACATCTCACCCTTCCTTCCCCCTGATCTGCAGGAGGGTGACCAGCCATTTGCTGCCAAAGAGCGGGCACAGCTGCCATTAGGAACAAGCAGCAGTCCCCAGACATGGCTCCTTCTGGTAACGGTTCCCAAGCCAGAGCATGGGAGTGACAGCCATGAGGTAGGACACCCTGGAGGACACCCTGAATGAGCATGTTGCATGTTGTGCATATCAAAATATTTTGACACAAACTGTTGTGTGTTTAAGCCCTGCACTGTCCAAACTGGCTCCCAGCCCTGTGTCAGTGCGATTATGCAAACGCAAGATCATCCATTGCAAATCATGGCAAATGCCACCCTGGTGAGTACAACTAAGCAAGCTGATGGAAATTCAAAATTTATTTGGATGTTTACTAGCCGATTTAAGGCATTGATAAGAGACCATAGCATGAATCTGGATTCCTGAATATTTCTTTGTGTTTCTGTAACTCATTAACAGTTTGCACTCCTCTGATTGTCCTCACTCTCTTCCTCTCACAGAATAGCATCCCAAGGCCTCTCCACTGCTGTGCTCATTGATGGATCCCACCAAAATACTCAGTCACGGGAGAGATAAGGGAACTTTGGCTGTTCCTTTGGAACTTACACTGAGAATAGCCCCTAAAATGACTGGAGGGTGTTGAAAAAAACGGAAGGCAATTGGTAATTGATATCAAACTTTCCCTCAGAGAGACGGTAAGAGGCTGGATGTTAAGTCTTTACAAATTTCTGGTTTACGTGTTTCTGAAGAATCTGATCTGCAAAGACAGATTCAGCAACCAATTCTAATTACAATGCTAATAATTCACAGAGCTTTGTCATCTCCTTCTCCAAACAAAAGTTGCACCCTGTCTAGCTGACAGCTCCAAGGAGAGGTATATCTATTACATTATATTCAACAACCTGTGCCAGAGCTCTTAACTTCCCGTATACAAAACACGCCAGCTTTGTCCTTTCGTCTTCATTGAGAGCGTTCACTCAGGTCTGTTGCTGAGGTCTGTGAACATGGGCAGAACTTCAACCCAGGCCTCTCTTTATGTTTCCACTTCCAGGTCACTCAGCCATCTTCACTTCCAAACTTTTCACAGCCTACCTCCACCCTATATAAACCTTTGTTGATGTGTTGGCTTATAGTCCCATGAACTCTCACAATTCTTCTAACTGTCGAATAAATTACCCATTAACATTTTCAAATGTCCTTCAGTCTCCTCCCTCAAAGCTCCACTCAGACCTCTGATACCGACAGGAAGAAAGTACATTTTGAGATATTCTGAAGGTACTTGCTACTTCATTGTCTCATTCCTATTCAAAATACCCCAGGATCACAGAGAAAGTATCCATTGCATGCCCTTTATCTTATTTTGATTCTAAAAGTCTACAAGAAAAACATCCTCTAACTGTAACTTATGACTCATATTTTAATTGTCAACAGGAACTCCTAGATACTCTGGCAATATAAACAATAATTAATGAAGAAGTAACTGGAAATTAAACAAGTGGTGTTTTCTACTGACATTTTCAGCTGAAGAGCTCAGAATCTCAAATATAAATATCCAGTAGATAACGTTGATTTGCATCTGGGACAGTTACCAGAGTATCCCAATACTCTGGTACCATAAGGATAAATTAAACCTACTAATTACCAACTGGAATAAACTAAAACAGGTAAAAATACATTTGGAGTAAATTAAAATGTGAATGCATTTCATATTTATTTCAAGTTGGAAGTGACTATTAAATCAGAAACCTTTCTGATTATCTGTACGTTATGCATATTCAATGTGTCTATTTAGGTTTCACATACCTGTAAGCTATTTTCAGTGCTCTGTTTGAACAAATGTGATTGGTGGCTATTTTAATCTGCCAGCATCTCACAGAAAGACAGGAATGTAAACTACAATTTTCCACAGTTCTCCACTAGGATAGTAAAAAGTACTTTCAAATTGCAGGTATTTTAGCATGCGGAGTGACTTACACTTGCACATGTCAGACTATTACTTCCAAAATGCTATCAAAGAGCTGTATAAAATGCTTGATGCTGCGTGACCCTGGGGTGTGATCTGATCAGATCTCAGAAAGCCATCAGGGCTGGGCTCTGTCAGAACTTGACAAGGTGCCTTCAAAGGAATACCAGGTGCAACACAGAAGAATCCTGTTGGCACAGGATGTGACTGCTCTCTCTGCCTCAATAAATCAAACAAGTCCTAACACCATCTTATGGGGTATAACACGGCTGGAGATGACATTTTGGGAAACTGAGACTGAAACAGAAGTCTCAAATAATTTTATATGGTCCTGTTTTATTTTCTTTTCAGATTGAGATTAACACTGACACAGGATCAAAGAACCACTGAGGATGAAAGGCACTTCTTGAGATTGGTTCATCTAACTTCCCTGTCCAGTCAGGGTCAGCTAGAGAAGTTTGCTCAGAATCGTGTACAGCTGGGGTTTAAATATCTCCAGAGATGTAGACAACTTCAGTGGTCAACCTGTTCCAGAGTTTGACTACCATCACAATAAAATAATGTTTTGTTCTTGTTCAGATTTCATGCTTTTTGATTTGTGCCCATTGACTCTTGTCCTGTCAGCGTGAACCACTGAGAAAAGTCTGTCTTCCTCTTCTTCATTCATGGATTTTTACACACCGGTAAGATCACCCTGAGCCTTCTCTTCTCCAGGCTAAACACCCATAACTCTCAGTCTCTCCTCTTAAGAAAGGTGCTCCAAGCCCTTAATAATTTTTGTGCCCTTTCACTAGACTCACAATAAGTCCACATCTCTCTGGTACTGAGGAGTCCAGGACAGGACCAAGCATCCAGGTGGGGCCTCATCAGTGCCAGGCAGAGGGCAAAAATCATTTCCCTCAACCTGCTTCCAATCCTTTTCTAATGTAATCCAGGAGGCTCCTGTCCTTTGTGACAAGGGTGTACTGCTGGTTTACACTCAGTTTATTGTGTACCAAGACCTGCAGGTCCTCTGCAGAGCTGCCTTCCAGCTGGTCATCCTCCAGCATATACACATGGGGTTACTCCTCCCCAGAGGTAGGACTTGTCACTTCCCTTTGTTAAACTGCATAAGGTCAAACATGTTTTCCCCTTCATACATCCATACTGACTAGTTCAGATCACCTCCTTATCCTTTACGTGGGAAACAGTTTCAAGGATTAGTTACTCTGTTGTATTGCCATCCCAGGGATTGACATGACAATGACTAGCCTGTAGTTCCCTAGATCCTGCTTAACAAAGGATTGACATTTGCTTTCTTCCAGTGCTCAGGAACTTCTTCCAGTCACCATGATGTACTAAGGATAATCAAGACTGTCCTTACAATGACATAAGCCAGCTCCCTCAGCACTCATAGGTGTAGCCCATCCATGGGCTTATGTGCGTCCAGTTTGCTTAAGTGCTCCATGTGTTGGTACTCAAATGAGGATAAGTCTTCCTTTCTCCAGACTTTCCTACTGGTATCAGCAGGCTGGAATTTCTGAAGGCCATTTGAACTGGTAAAGACTGAGTCAAAGAAGGTATTAAGTACCTCAGTGTTTTCCACTTTGTTCATCACCAGGTTCCATGCCCTATTCAGGAGTAAGCCTGTATTTTCTTCAGTCTTCCTTTTACTGTTTATTATACACTTGTAGAGTCTGTTCCTATTACCCTTCACATCCCTTGCCAGATTAAAGCTCAAGGTTGGCCTGCACTTTCCTAAACTTACCCCTGAAAGCTCAGAAAACCACTCGATGCTTCTCCTGCGTCATCTGCTTCTTCCATCTCATACACTTCCTTTGTATGTCTGAGTTCTGTTGGGAGTTCCTGTTGTCTTTTCTTGGTTTCCTACTTGTCAGTATGGACCTTTCTTGAGCATATGGGATGCTAACTTTGAGTACCAAGCTGCTCTTCTGAATCTTTCTTTGCTCCGGGGCCATAACCCTTGGAATTTTTCCAAGAACATCTCTGAAGAGATGGAAGACTGCTACCCTGAAATCCAGAGTTGTGGTCCTGGTCTTTGCACTTCTCCCTCCTCTTAGAATCCCCAAGTCCACTATCTCACAGTCATTGCAGCCAAGGCTACCTGTGACCTTTAAAACTCTCCATCTGTTCTTCATTTGTTTTAAGTATCATCTACAGCATAGCATCTTCTCTTGTCGGCTCCTTGATAACTTGTGCCAGGAGGTTGTGGTCAAAGCACTGTAGAAGTCTTCTAGGTTGCTTGAGCCCTGCTGTGTTGTTCTCCCAGCAGATATCAAGCTATTGTTATATCACATATTGACTTCCTGGCTCCTAGTTTGAACTCAAAAGTTACTCTTTTTTTGGTACTTTTTTTTTGTTACTTCCATTCCTAGAATCTGTCATGTTTACTAAAAATTAACTGTGTTTCGTATATCAATACATAAAATTGAAATGATCAACAGCAGCACATTTTCTCATATATGAGTTTAGTTTTCATTATAGAACCCAAAATCATAAACATATTCATACTAACAATATCCCAAGTCACCACTTTACAGCAGAATATAACTGAATCATTGAGAAAAAAACTTACAGAATTTACCTTGAAATCTTTGGCACTGATGGGAATCACATTCAGGTATTTCTGGTCCCACCTAATCCTCCACTCATGAGACCATCTTCAGCCACAAACCTAATTTATTAAGCATGGCTCCACACACAAAACGTAGGTATGTTATAATTTAGGGTTCAATGAAACCAACTTCAAAGTTCATCCCAGAGATAAAACCTTTATCAGGATTTAAATATCCCTAGAACATTTGGACTTGGGAATTTAGTCCAGAATTAATTCAAACAAAAAATAATTTAAGATAAGTGCATTAAAAGACACTAAATCGAAAAAGACTCCTTTTGGTGCTTCTTTTTCACAAAGTCTAATGCTCACACAATGTGATTCATTGCAGACAGTCAAATCTGTAACAAAGATGATAGGGATACTTACGTGTAGTTTCAGTTCCACGGAGGCCCTCACTAGCAGCATTTGAGTATATAGCAAATACAGCTATCTGGTATTCCGTTAAAGACATCAGGTTTTTGAGAACTGCTGTTGATAAGCTTCCATCTACCACAACCTGTTTAGAAAAAATTCAACTAAATGCACAGAAAGCAAACTAATTATATTACCATCAAATCAATCAATCCCTCTTTCAGGCTATTTTTACACTGGCATCTACGAATCAATGTACTAAAGTTCAATTCATAAATCAAATTTGCCTTTGCTATCTTTATGCACAGTAAGGTGTCTGAAAAAAGAATGGCAATGATATACATAGTCAAAATGTTTAGCTGATATAAGTAGCCACTTAGAACAAAAGGAACTGCTTAAATAAAGTGTACAGAATACAGTTTAAGAGTGTATATTGGTTATTTTTTAATATAATTACTGTATCATCATTAATTTTCCTTCAGTACTACATATGTACACAAATAGTATTTCAAACTGACATTAACACATATCCATACTAAACAAGTTTCTAGTACAAAAAGAAACAAAATATATCCTTAGTTAAGTCCTTCTGCTCTTCTGTCTTTCCATTCAATTTTGCAAATTGTCAGTTGAAGCCAAAACCTTGTTCCACTGCATTTTACCCCATCTCCAAAATGCCTAAGTTCTATTCAGCTAAAGATCTCTCTCGAAATTCTCAGTGACTGAAATAGATGGGGCCCAAGTAGATGTCCCAAAATATACACCTGTATCATCTTCCTTTTATTAATTATTTTTTCTTAGAACTGAAAATCTGGGTTACCATCAGCTCCTACCTCTTCAGTTCTTATAAACAGAATGGTGCAGGGGAAGTCCAGAGAATTAGTTCAAGTAACTCTATGTGTAAGCAAAACTGCAGGCAGTTCAGCCCACTCCCCACAAGTGCTCACAGCTATGGCACATTTGCTTTAAATCATGTGACAGAAAAGCAGCCTGACTACTACCTAACCTTCACCACCATCCAATGTGACCGTGTTCTCCTTTTTGAAGTGGGCTTCAAAACCCACATAGGGAATTTCAGGGTAGATTTAAATAAGACCATGGATTTTCTGTCTAATTAGTTCTTGCTGTTTTAAAAATTCCTGGGAAGTTTTTCCTCCCGTTACCTCTTCGGGTTGTCCTCCTCGAGAGGGATAATACACCACCCTGTATTTTTCCACTTTGCCTGGTGCATGGGTCCAGCTAACTCGGAATCCTCTGGCAGTTACCTCAGATGTGACCAAATCCGAAGGAGCCCCAAGTGAAGCAACAATTGTTCCTAGGTTAGAGACAACACAATTTTTTTATTCCCCTCTGCAAAATAATTATTTGGGTTTTTGTGTTTGGTGAAGTTCCAAAGATCACTCCTCATAAGAAAAATCAAATTAATTAGCTAGTGCACATGTATTTAGGTCATTTTCAGTGGAAACAGAGAATTAAGAATGAGTACTGCACATGGAGTTTTCACTTGGGACTAAGCCTCCCTGGTCTTTCATAAACCCTTATATGAAAAACCTTTATATGAAATAGACAAAACCATAAAATTAAGCTTTCCTGTCCTTTCTCCCATCACTCTTTCAAGCCCTTTCTTAATGTTTTTGGGGTTTTTTTTCAGGTTACTTTCCTCCCAGTCATGAAAAACACTGAAGTATGTATACAGCTGTGATTCCTGTGCTCTTCCACAGGTTGGAAACCGATATGCTGCCTGTCAGCAGACTGAAGAGGTGTAGTGAAAGGTCATCTTCTCTGGCAATCATTCCTTTCCACAAAGATGTCTCATCTCTCTATGGTTTTTCCATCCTCTCCTTCTCCATTTCCCAACTGACTGCTCACTCCCCCCACAAGACACAGCTAAAATTCTGTATTTCTTCCAATTTCCAGGTGAATTAAGAGGAAAAAGTTGGAATGAAGCCTTACTAATACACACTTCTTCATTGCACAGGTAGAAGTGTGTGAAAGACATCCTTCCTTACTTATATATATTACAAGCTTATTGAAAAATCATTGAGCATTTCTTTGATATTACAGAATCACAAACCAAGCAATACAAACAAAATCCATTGGAGTCTTTCTTCAGGTAGGACTGTTTCTGTGGCGTATCACAAAAATATTTTTTCATAGACATTTCTTTTGTTCATAAGAGAAAAAAAAATGTAGGCAGAGTAGGCTATTATATATGAACAATTTTCTTCATCACAATCTTTTCTTATGACCTGAAATATATTTTCTGTGTACTAAATAAAAAAAAAAAAAAAGGGAAAAAAACATTATCAGGAAGGGAAAAAGCAACCTTGATTGAAAATTTTGAAAACTTATGACACAATAATAAAAACAGTATGTTAGGAGATGGAAAGCACAGCACAAACGTAACAATTCCATGTGCAGCTGTTAAAGTAATTCATCCCCAAACCTGTCTATTATAAAGAAAAAAATTTCCTTACCCATCACTTGGAAATAATTACTGCAGAATGAATTTTTATATTTTTTAGTACTACCAAATATCATAACATTTACTACTGTCAAGGAAAGAGAGCAAAAGATCAAAGATATCAAAGCAAGGATAAAACATACCTAGGAAGACAACTTCCCTGACAATGTACTTTCTCTGAGTAAAACTATATACAATATATATAACATGAGTTAAGTGCCAGAAGCCAGCTTAGAACCGCAGGTATTTGGAATAGGATTTGTAGCTCTAAGTTTATATTAAGTTACATTACATCTTCTTTCTTGTTCACCTTTGATTTCCTTTTCCTGCTCTTCTACTCGTGAGCACACTGTTCTGGTAAGACCTTCAACAATGGTATTCATGAAGTTAAAGTCAGCAACGTTGTAGACGTGTGTGCTGTCAGGCTCAGAGGCAATCTCCTTGAGTTCATTTATATCTGCATTCTTTACACCTTTAATTGGAAAGAAAAACAAGAAAAACAGTTTGCAACAAACAATTAAAAATCTGGTATGCACAGGGATTGATAAAAGAATTACTAAAATCCATTTCTTTCTATTTGTTTTAATAATCAACTACAGATTGCTTTGTTGTTCAGATGTTACTTCAAGGCATTAATTTCTGCCAGTCTAACTGCCTTTTTTTCCTCTGACTACGCCGGATCTGTGTATACTGCTAAATCCCAGTTGTAGATGCAATGAATTGGAGAACATATTAAAGATTTAAATTAATGATGATTCTTACTGGATACAGACAGCAAATAACTTTTTTAATACAGAGGACAACAGATACAAATACCACAGGTTATAACAGGACACAATATAGAGATATGGCAGAATACACACCAATAGCAAACAGCTCAATGCCAGCATCTCGCAGGTTTTTAGCAGGAGGGATAACGTCATCTTGGGACTTCCCATCAGTGATTAGGATACCAATTTTAGATACTCCAGGTCTTGCACCTGCTTCAGGCTTAAAGCTGTTTTCCAAAATGTAAGTTAAGGCCAGACCTAAAAAAGGAAACATTTTAACAGACTTTAAGAGGGAAAAATGTCCATTAATTTTGTTAATATCACAGTGTTCCACTCAATTTAAAAATTCAGAGAAACCTTTTAATGAAGAATAAGTATAAAAGAAGCATTTATTTAATGAAAGGTTAAATTCTAACAAGTCATCTAAATTAGAGAGAAGGTGTTATTCATCTTTAGTAGCCTGTTGATCAATCAGTGTATTTTAAACTGGGTATGTAAACCTAAATTGATCTTCTTGTAAATGCATCCCCTTTTCTTTCTTACTCAACAAAGTTAGAACAGGAAGTCCCCTCTCCTTCTGCCTACATTGCTTACATGACAGCACATGCTATGGATAGCTTAGTAAATCCTCATACTACATACAATCTTGCTTTAATTTGTTTGCTTGTTCTTTACAAATTATAAACTGAAGAAAAGCTTAAATTAAGCTTAGGGAGAATCAGATTTTAATACCTGGCAATTATTTAAAGGGAAGGAAGAACAACAAGTCCTCTAGGACCAACTTACAAGTCATAAGATCCTATGTGAAAACTTAAGTCTCCTACAGCAAAGGTTCCTAATTGATCTTCTTCTGACATTCACATAAAATAATCATGGTAATTTACTACTTGCTACCTCACAGTAATCTTACTCCTAGAATGACAGAATAACACTGGAGGAGTTCTGTCCTTTTTCCCCCGTACAGTCACTCCTCCTACCAAAATATAGCCTGTTGCAAAAGAGAAAAAGAACCTTTCTTCCCTTTCCTCCTTGCCAAAGACAAAACAAACAACAACAATAACAACAACAAAACCAAAAAACACCACACACCAACAGAAAGACTGCAATTTACTTAAAGCCATGTCTGGGTCTTTGGATAAATCATTCTCCTGGCAAGACAGACAATATTACTAACTGCTGCTGTGATGATACTGGAATTGCTTTCCGAGACTGTATTTTTCACAGGTTGACAGGCATCCCCCATTTATCCATCACTAATTGTCTTCTGGGGCTTCAGTGCTCTAGCTGCTAAAAGGTGAATGGAAATCTAAAAGCCCCAGGTAATCATTTGGAGAGTGACTATTGACAGTTGTCAAATATTAAAACACAATTGTTTGAGTCTCCAGAATAAAACTCTGTGAATGATCAACATGAATGGATTTTGCATTTTCTTCCTAGCAGGTAAGGTTTTGCTTCCAGCCCAGAGAGTTCATCTACACTTTGTTTTGAGACACTGTCCTGACCAGAAAGGCTCCCAGTGAGGCCAATGAGGCACCTGAAAAGAAAACTTCACTGACATTGGACAAAGCCACTAGCAAGCTGCAAAAATGCTATCCTTCTTACCCTTCATAATAAGCACTAATGCTGCTTACTCTGTGCAGCAGAATCTGATTTTTAACAAAAGGCAGAAGCTAAAACATGCACTATACCTGTTAACGTATTCCCTCCCTTGTACGGTAGATTACGGACTGCATCCAAAACAGCATCTTTTGTGCCATAGGCATTCAAATGCCATTCAATTCGGGGATCACCACTGTACTGAGCAAGACCTAGAGAACCAGAAATTAAGGTAATCCATTAGACAATAAAGCATTTTTCTTCAAGTATCTACACTTTATGTTCTTGGTTACTGATAGCTTACTATAGTAAGCTTAACACATCTAGCTTTGCCACCATACTAGAAAAATTTTTATGCTTGATGCCAAGAAAATAGTATAAAGGTGTACCTGGTGGCAACTTCTCAATTTATTTTCAAAATCTTTCTTTCAAGCACTAAGGAAAGTGAGGAGTACATGACTTTTTCAGTTTTGTAAGATTCTAAGAAATCCTTTTTTGAAAAAGAGTAATTTTATTTAATGTGCTTTTGAACAGACTAAAATATAAGTAGCAGCATAGAAACATAACATTTGGGCCAGTTTAAGCCATGAGAAAAGCTGTCCATTGGCACATTCTTCCTCCAAAAATTAAACTGAAAGCATTTGATCTAATGCTGACTGACGTCAATAAAACTGTTTCCACTGGTTTTGGTTTTTTTTTTTCCGCTGACATTGCATTAGTTTCCTTCACCTGAGTATCACAGTAAACTGTGAGGAATTAATACTGTAAGCGTTCCAGAAGCATTACTCTTATGATAGAATCACTAGTTCCAGGTGAAGATCTTGTACAAATTAGTAGTATCAAGCTTTAAAGTGTCCTGAAATTATGATATTTTTGCATTAATACAGAAATATTAGGAAAAAATACAGCGCCTTACCTATTCGTGTTTTCTCAGATCCCACATTGAATGCAGAAACCAGATTTTCCAGGAACAGTCGAACAAGCCTAAAATTGAATCTGCCAATACTCCAAGAACCATCTACCAGTATCACAATATCTGCAATTGCTGGAGTTTTGCAAGTAAACAGGTTTCCTGTAAATCATTAAAATGAAAACAATACTGTTAGTTCAACAATAACATTATAATTCAATCAATGTAGACCTTCCTCATCCTGCTAAATGTAATACTTAGAGCTTTATTCCATGGGCAAAGTGAGAAATGAGAAAAATCACTGAACGTATTTGTTCTAAATTCAGTAGCAGGACAGCTTAGCCTTTATATACTTCAGTTCTTCCATTGAGCTGTTCAAAACTGTTGGGAGACGCATGAAATAGAAATCCTGCTTCTAAAAATACAGTATGTCAAAAAGAAAAAATTAACTGTTGTATAACAAAATCAAACCAGCAGTTCATCTTCATTCTCAAGAATACACACACAGAGTGTAGAGTTTATGACACTTAACCTTAGGTGTAGACAATGCAGAGCAGGCTATCTAAAGACGCAGACATCCAAAACAGTTATCAAGATCCCTTTCATAGTCAACATACAAAAGCAAGTGTTTCTATACACCTCAACAACTCTGTAGAAAATCTTTAGCTGCCATTACAGACTTCTGAAGTTAGAAGTGAACCTCACCTGGGAGTCCAGAGTAAAACCAAAAGTCAATTTAACATGCTGTATTAAACCTAAGTAGTTGAGGACACTCAATATAGCAAAGGTAAAATGCAAAGACCTCAGATTCAAATTCACAATCTCTATGAGAACTAGTACCACAAGAAGATTTAGTGTTACATATATATGCAAAAGTATAAACAAATAAAAGAGCATTTAAAAAGCAACAGAAATGACCTGATGAGAATTATCAGAGATGCATATTAATGGTCTGTAAGGTTTAGATAACCAATGGGGAAATCAGAGGAAATGGGAGTAGAGATAAGACACAAATTGCAAGACAAGCCAACAAGAAGGGATTTAGGGATACAGATTCTTAAGAAACTGAGAACCATGAACAAAAGTGTCACGCTCAGTTCCTCAGGCAGAAATGCCACATCCCACAAAAGTGGATGCGTGACTGTAAAAGTAACATTGCTGAAACAGAGGATTCATGTTCTAGCGAGGGAAAAGAGATGAGTAATGTTACACAGGTAAACAAAAGAAGAGCTTATGATTGAAGTACAAAACTAGCAAACTCCCCACCAGAGAGACTAAGGTTTGAAGTAGGAAAGTCAAAGCAAAGCATGTTAGTAGAAAAGCTATCATGCATCACAAACAATTTAGGGAGGAAAATCATGTCCCTGAATACAGTTAAAAAACTGCATATGAATGAAGTAAGCTGCAGCCCAGCTTTTATCATAATTTTTTTTTTTCAGGATCCAATACATAAATTAGTTGACAAAGGATACAAACACCTAAGATGGTGCGAACAGGAATCACTGAGTATATTGTTAGAAATACACTGATCTTGAGCAGAGGTGCTCAGTCAATAAAAGAAGTAATTCAGTAAGAAAGAATCAAAAAGGCTCTCCTGTTCAAGATAAGAAACCACATGGTTAGCAACTTAAAAAATTAACACCATATTATTAATTACAATCTTTTCACTAAAGACAAAATTACAGTCTCACAGGCAAAAACACTCTGATGTGCAGGACTTCAAACAATTGGTAATAATTAACAGTTAGATTCATACTGTAGTGTAAATCCACTGAGCAAGAAACCACATCCATAAAGTTACAGTTAATATCTTAAACGTGTATACTAAAAATGTTTTTAGGAGAGCAGGGAACATTTCCTACGTGCAGCTAGCAGTGTAGAAAACGTTCTAAACACATGACAAAAATTCCACTTACAAAGATGCCAAAACAAATATTTTATTTTAGTTTTTACAGTACAAGACAACACTATTTGATTTGGCAACACATTTTAATGTATAAACACTGGGGAGCATTTAGTAAGCACCAGAAAAAAATTATTTTAAATTGGAAGATGAATCCAAAGGAGGTCCAAATCTTCATATAATTGAAGTCAACAGTCAACCAAACTTCCCTTGATTTCAGCGGGACTGGAATTTGTTTTGTGATTTAATAGGAACTTACTGGTCACGGCAAAACTCATGTTTTAAATATCTTTGCCAAATAAACTTCCTGTTAATCAGCTTGCATTACTGCATTACTTGCAGCATTTAGCTCCCATTAACTTGCAGTTCAAACATGCCATTCTCACACTGGCTATGAAGAAGCTTTATTTGAAGCTTCTTAAGCTTCCGAAGAACTATTGGCAAAGTAAAAGGCTACTCAACACTAGTAAGAATTATAGAACTGGCCCCTTGATTCACATCCAAGCAGCTGTACTATAGCACAGATGTATCTTCTCAGTAAGATCCCAGTAGTTTAACCATATAGCCCAATTAAGATAACAGGACTTTCATGGCCATATTTCACTTCACTACTTCTAAAATCTTATCCCTAGTATGAAATCTAGTCAGTACCCTAGGTTTTACTCATATCAAGAAGTTTTGCCTATAATGCTTTTTTTAATCCAGTAGTAATGACTTTGCAAATAAATCTTTCATCTGTTTTAGTAAATCCATTCAGTGAAACAAAGACCAAAGAATAACAAAAACAGTAATGGCATTCCTTTCAATATTTTATTTCAACATCATCAGATCAGTGCAAATAGTATCATTCAATTATTTCTTTTGTGAAAAAAGCATGTGTGGTTTGATCCAAGATTGTACTGCAATGCCACAGAAAGAGAAAATTTGATTCGTTCTTCGTAGGTAGGAGATATTTGTTGAATCTTTTCTGCATAAAACATTTAGGTTTTGTTACTTCTGTATACCCACTATTTGCTTATGTTTTCTCCTTGTTGTACTTAATAGAATTGTAGAAAATTCCCTAAAACGGAATAAACAACAGTGAGATATTAAACATGCTGTACAGAAATCTTTAAAACTTTGATAGTAATACAAACACCTTATCATCCTAGTTTATAAAGTTACTCTAAAAGACACAGCGTGTAGCAAGTCATTTAAGCACTCCATTGAAATTAGCCAATTTCCATTACCACTTCTAGCAAATGAAGTCTTTTTCAATAACCTTTCCATACCACCATACATGGTCATGAATTCCTATAGGATAATTTTGAACGTTTCAACGTTACTTTAATAGGCAATTCTCCCAACAACATTTTGTAAAGGAGGATGACAGCATATAATTCCACATGAAAATAAGCATCCAACAGTCAGTGGTTTAGCCCACTGCAAGTTTCAACACTGTGCAGTGTTGTGTAAATTTCCTTTCACTCAGTCATCAAGAAAACAGTACTGAGAGAGAAGACCCCACTTTCCTCTAAATTATATGATACTCACCAGTTTCAAGAGCAGGACAGTAGGGAGGAGATCAGTTACCTAGGTTTCCCTAATGTTATATATGTTCCTAATGCTATATAGAAAACATTATTCTACTTCAAGTGCTGCATTCCATAACAGACAATAACAGAGCCTACGATTTTTAGGTTAGAGAAAATGACAGAACTGCAAGCATCCTAAGTCAGAAAAAGAGCTTACATATTTTACACCAGCAACTGTCTTCAGTACATCCACCTACAATGGGTGGAGGAGTTTGATGGGGAGAAAGTAAAAAATTAATGGACTTCATATAACAAATTTACAATCATCTTAACATTATTTGGCAGAAGGAACTTGCCACTCTTCCAGGAAGCTAACCGAGGAGAAAGGAGTTTGGTCTCCTCATTCCTGTATGTCACAAATGAAGGCACAGGCTCCAAATTTCATATCCAAAGAGACCAGCATACAACTAAAAGCTATCAGCAATTTACTAGGACAAGATATTTCTACAAAATCTGCTTCAGTATTGCCAACAGTCACATCACCATCAAGAATTTTGGTTCCTTTGTTTCAGGGAAATCTTCCAAAGAATAACCAGCATGGAAGGAATTTTGCATCTGCCAGATGAAGTTTCCTGACTTTGATCCCTCAAGCCCCCAGACATTAAAGGGGATGTATTTGCTTGCAATTCCAACGTGCAAGTGCCACAGCACTATCAAGACCCATGTCACAGTTTGGCTGTGAGTGAAGCCAACGATGGCAACAATGAAAAAGAAAAATCCAGCTAGAACCTTCTGAGATGGAGAGAGATTTCTTTGGCCTGCAAAACAGGACCCTTGAGACGTCCCATTGAAGGGAATGGTGAGCAGAGTGAGGACTGGGAGGGGCTCTGGCAGTACAGGGGAGGCACAGAACAGACCAGGGTCTACAAGCTTCTGTAAGCACTGACCACCTCTCTGAGGCTGCACTTTCAGCCTACTGCTATTCTTCTACACATGCTCTCAGCAAGCAAGTGAGCAATATTAAGACAGAAATTTCAAAAACCTGCAAGTCTTAGACACAAATATAAAACTATGATTTTTAGACTAGAGTAGTGGCTTTCTGATTCCTGGAGTTAATACTACTACTCTTTGAAAATTCTTTAAAAGGCAAAGGGAGAAGCAGCAAATACAGGCACTGCCACCCGGGAGGACTCAATGTCTTGGAAGAACCAGATCAATTTGCATGCAGTTATGATCCATTTTGCAGAAACACATTTGATATTTTGCCTCCCCTTGGTATGAAACTGTTCTTATTTTCAAGAGCCAAAACACACTTCTGCTAGAAGAAGTTAAGACTATAATTCTTTCTGCGTCTGCAATACATCGTTTCCTTTCTTAGTCCCTGTCACAGTGGAAAAGTCAAATAATACATGTGGAAGGAGAGGAAAATAGTTCAAGTAGAGGTCAGTAATAATATAGTATGAATGGAAGACTCATTCGTGGGGTAACAAAGCACAGAAGGCAAGAAGCTTGGTGACAGAACCGAGTGAAAAATACCTTGTGAATAAAGCACAAATGACAGAGAAAAGTTAGTCCTCCGTAGTGATTGATAGCACCACAGATGAGCAGAAGCACCACTGAGGACAAGGGCAATACAAATCTACATGTTAAATGTCACTTCTTTAAAAAAATGGGTTAAAAAAAAAAATACAGGGACATGAGGCAGTGTTGAGCTCCAAAATTCAGCAACTCACTAGTCCACACTT